ATTCCTGCTTCCACCTTATCGCTTGCATGTCAAAAAGTCAAGCTTCAATCATAAAGTGAAATTTCAGTGATAGAATCTCCTTAAAGAAACTATCCACAATTACGCAACACATAACCAGCTTTTAATCAATAAAAGAGTCCTTCCTGGGACTGCAGGCAGCTATATTGTAGAACATTTAAAATAAAAAACCATACCATCCTGCCCCCAAAAACTATGCTTTTAAACTCGCTACAACTAAGTGTTTATTATTTTTAAAAGGACATATTAGAACTTAAATGATTTTCAAATATGTCCATTTTTTAGTTAAGTAAGCATTAGGAAACAATTTCTTAACACTCTGAGGTGACATATACCACTTATTAAGAGGAAATTGAAACCAAAACAAAGCCTTCGTTGTCAAAAAAGTAAAAAAACCCACTATAATTACAGAAACTTATCAAAAGCAGAACTGTTCATTTGAACAGTTAAACACTAAACCACACTCAAGTAACATCTGATAGTTTCAATTTTTAGATCTTACTGACAAAAAATGGTAAAAATTGTTGTGCTCAAAAATAAATATCTATCAATAATTGAATTCTCTGAAGATAATGGAGAATTCTCTGGAGAGATGGATGACAATGAAAAACATTTCTCGAAGTAGAATCATAGCAAAAGTATACCACGCATACCCCAAGCGGGATGCTATATAACTATTCTCATTAATACTTGCAAAACATTTTCATTTTGCCAAGTAATACAGAACATTTTTTTTTTGTAGTTCCAACCTTTTTCTTTTTTTCTTCTACAGAACACTTCCTATTCCAATTAATGAATTCCAATTAATGAATTAATGAAGGCTGCTACCCAGAAGTTGAGAATAAAAAATGGCTTCCAAAAGTTTCTCTTATGCAACAGAACAGATTTCTTGAGCGCTTAAGTTTCATTTCATTCTGATGTAGAAGTGAGTCTAGAAACCTGTGATCTCAGCTAATGAAGTAAGTGTAATGAAGTGAGTGTAAAATAATAAAAATGAGGAACACGCTTCTTTTGCACCAATGTTTTTTTTTCTAATAGCCACTAGACTGATAGGATTTCATTTCAAAGGTACAATACTTAATTGCAGTCAGCAGATAAGATCTCACATAAAAAAAGTCATTCTTAAAATGGCCAGGTCTCTACCACACAGACCACAAAGCTTGCTTTTTTCTTTATTCCAGTTGGCCATCAGCCAGCCACCTACAGTGACCAGCAGCAGATACATTCTTGAAGATATTATAAAGCAATCAATAAATGACATGATATAAGTCATGACTGGTACCCTAAACTGTCTAATATACCCTTTACTTTCCAGACGAAAACCCAGTTGTCTTCTCCATGTCGATATGCACGAACTGTTCCATACGGATGGAAAATGCCAAATATGGCTTATGAACTCTTATTCACATCCAAAATGAAAGCATCTTTTGGAGGTGCTTTCACACCAAACTTACGGACATGAGAAGTTTGTCTCAGAGTACACTCTGAAGTAACTAGAAGTAGTCCCCCTGCTCTGCTGCCTTGAACCAGTCAGTCATTTAGTGATTAGGGGACTGCCAGCCTTGTCTTTTAATGTTTTTCAGTATGTTTAGTCACTTCTTGTCTTTCAGGCATAACCTCAGAACAGCCCTCAGTACAGAGAAAAACTTCTTTCTGAAATTTACAAAAGAGCAGTTACTGTTCCCAACAACTTCTCTGTATTTCATGCTGAAAAATGTCAATATTCAAGACTGTGCCACCACCACAGAAGACTGTGCAGATTTCTGCTTTCAAATAAGTGCCAGTGTACCTTCATATAATTCTTGAGGTATTTTAAATGTTAGAGAGATTTTTAAGGGATAAGAATGTGCTGTCTCTGCATAAGCAGCTATGTTCAAGGCACAAACTGGATGACTGTGTTTTATCCTCAAAACCACCCAATCAGTAAACATGAACCTGTAATGGACAAAAGCAAAACACCTGCAATCCCATTTCAGTGTATCCTCCTTCAGAGATGAAAAGTGAAAAAGGTAATTGAAAAGTCAGTGCTGAAAAGCTGTAGTCTGAGAAGCCGTAGACTGAGAAGCCATAAGCAGACTTCTATTAGCTCCAAGATGTAATAGCTCAGTTCTGAATATAACACAGGGATCCTTCTACATCAACAGGTGATGCTAATGAAGACAGTAAAATCCAAATCTGTTTTCATGCCTATCAACTACTACACTGTATTCCCCGAAATGAAGGCTGGCAAAGTAATTGGGACAGATAATGTTTCATAAATACAGAACAATTAGACTGAGCGAAAAGAGCAGGAAAGTAAAAAATGATAAAAAGTTTCAAGGAAACTAAGGAAAATCAGTAAAATGATCTTCATTTCAACAGTAATGTACACATACAATTTAAGATGTGAAAACTATTTTTCCAATTGCTAAGAACACATGACTCTGACCTGACAGTATGAAATGTGATATGCATCATCTCCAGTATTATGTTCTGAAAATGTGACAGACTGTATCTATAAACTGATCTTATCAAACTTGGGCAAGAAACTGGCCTTCAATTCAGCATATTACTGTAAAAGGTAAGCCTGGTTTTGTAGAAATCAATCCTAACTCCTTACCTATTTATCACAAGGAAGTCCAGAATAGGTTGTGGTTGATTTGTGGTGTTTTGATTTTTGGGTTTTTTTTTTTTTTTTTGGTTGGTTGGTTGGGTTTGTTTTTTTTTTTAAATATAAGAACTCTTCAATAAACAGGTTTTAGGTTATTTTACAGCTGATATTATAAAGGCAATTAAAGTGTGGGGTGTTTTTTGGTTGGATGGGGTTTTTTTTAAAGATCCTTTCATAAGAAAGTAGTATTTCCACAGAACATGGTGACTATCATGACAGACACTCCCCTGCCCCCAAAAAAGAGAAAAGAGTAAGTATTACATTATGAAAACATAGAAAACGTATGTTCTGACAGAAGATAACCTAAATTAAGGTGTTCCACCCAAAAGAAAACATATGAATGCAGACTACAGAAGTATCAAAATAGAATCAAATCTGCTTCTGTTTACTTATTTATCTCTAAATTTGGAATTAAAGTTACCATACCTGGGCCAGGGCTATGAAGACCCTGTTACGAAGACAACACTCTAAATGCAGATTATGGTAGTTACCAGATGCATATCCAACAAAAGAACCTGTGAATGTCTGCCCTATTATGCTGTCCTGAAACTACTGCAAGAGGTGACAGTCAGTGCACGTTTATTTGATCTTTATGATGATATATATACTGCCATGCTTATAAATCCTGATACTGCTTGAAATAAAGTCTGATAGAAGTCTGACAACACACTGAGGAGCAAAGTAAGAGATGAATATGCAGAATGAAGTTCATGAATGATCAGACATGAGAAGGAGGAATAAAGAAGGCCTTTGACACTATTTTCGGTCTCAGAATGTTAAAAAGCTGAGAAAAAACATCTACAAATCAAATAAACAGAATTTAAACAAACCTGTCCAACCTCAAATGCTATTTTTACTGTGTGTGGAGTTATCTCATTCAATTAGCTCAGTGATTGAGAGGGCAATTTTTAATCAGAAACTACTATCACAAACATGACACAAGTGCAGAAATCCCACAAACCACCCTGTGAAACTATCTATATGAGCTCAGGGTTTCCCAAAGGAGAATTTAAACTTAAAACCTGGCAGCCTAAACAGTGACTTATGCGACCTCACAGCATTGTGACACACAGTTGTCTCCCAAATATTCTCTTATGTGAACATAAGCAGGTTTCAAAATTGCTTTAGATGAAGAAAATACTCCTTTAAGTTTTGATAGCAGAACACACAGTCAAAAGACAGTATACATCAAGTAATAACTGATGGCAAACATGTCACACCATTCGTGGTACAAAACTTAATGTTATACCATTTGCAGCAACTGTAGGAAAGCGGACAGAAAGGAATGTTTTGATAATAATGTTGCAAAGTTAAATTTTGCAACTGGACATTTCAGATAGATAATTACTATTTATTTTAAATGATGGTCACAACCAATTTAATCAGCAATGTAGACTATTAAAATGCCAGTTTTTGTCAAAGTAGGTATTTTTGATGGGTGAGAATTATGCTCCTCTTCTGGAAATTTTAAGGTTTACAGGTGGAAAAGCAAAAAGATGACAGAAATTCTTGATTGCCTAACAGCCAAGGAAGCAACGAGTGCAGGAAAGAGAAATCCTTTCTAGACAAGCCAAAATAATGCCACCAAAACAAATTTGGAGGCCTGAGAAGAGTTTTTCATAGACTTTATAATCTTAGAACAACACTACTTGTACCTGTTTTACAGCTGCTTACCTTGCACAAGCCAGAAAGTAGAAGCTAACCGGTGTGGTGGGTGCAAAAAGATTAGAATTGAAACAAAAGTACAGTTTCAAGAACTTCCTGCATGTAATAACTTAAAGGCAGAATTTTTGAGAGAGAAATATAAAAATCCCCTAAATAATGATTTTTTTCCCCCCGGAATTCAAAACATTTGCTGTTATTTTGCAGCCACTGTGCTTCTAAAAGTCTAAAATGTGAAGCTGAATAAGAAAATTTCAAATAAAAGTCGACTTTAGTATTAAGAGGAAGTTTCTAACCCTACAAAATACTTCATGTGAATTTGGTGTCAACTGCTGATTTATGTGTTAAATGAGGATACCCATTAGCACCCAGACTACTACTGTAAGTTCTAATCAAACCAAAGACTATGTAAAAATCTTTACTTCAAAGATTTTATATTTGTGTGTGCACGTGCGAGTCATGCAAAATTGCTGAAAAAACAATCAACATGCGCTGACTGAATTTTAATTTGTTAGATGTTACAAAGTAAATTAAAATCTTAATTACAGAATTCTTCATGAAGTGTTATTTTAGTATCACTGAATTTAGTTAGTACATACAGAATTTTTCAAATAGAGGAAAAAAAATTTTTTACTAAATAAAAACTGTTATAATATACTTCCAAAATAAAAACACTGCCATCAAGGGGGCTTGTCTGGAGTGACACTGATTTAATAAAACTTTGTCCACTAAGAGCTTTGTATAGCTGATGACATAAGTTACAAAAGTATTTTTACCAGGTACTTCAATATTGAAGTTTGGTTTAAATTACATACTTCAAGTAGGTCAACCGGTCTGAAAACTCTTAAAGAGTAAAGAGGTGTCAACCAAAATGTGGTAACTGCACAGAAATGTGAAGGGCACCATAAAATAAAGATAATATCCTAAGCAATGCTACAAAAAAGTTCATATTTACATTACAGGCATTTTTTTGTTCTCATTGCTTTCGATTGTAAAAATAATTACACGCCCATAAACAGCAATTATAGCTTGATTCAAGCTCATGTTAAGAAACAAAAAAAAACCCAACAAAAAACCCACCCACAACAGTACTACAGTATTATACTTTTAGGAGCAGATAAAGTTTAAATTTTTCAGAAAACTTCTCAGAGTAGGAGTGTCCTCAAATTCCAGTTGTTTATTATTTTTACACTCACATTTCAAAGCATTTAGCTCTCTTTATCTATTTAACCTTAAATTTTTATGTGTTTTCAATACTTCTCATCTAGGAAATGGCTGTCACAAGTTTTCACATATTCACATTCAGCAGGTAGAAAGTTAAAGTTGGTTGCCCCCGTTACAGAAAACGATGCTTAATGAAAAAACAAAAACAAAAACAAAAACAGAACTTGTGAGAAAAAAATGTCTTCTATATAGATAGGCAAAAAAAGCGTTGCATTACAAGATTCAGAATCTGCACTTACTCTTTACCCCTTTCTTCCCCTTTCGTTCCTTCTTGTACTGTTCCTTCAGTTTACTTATTAGTCCCTGGTCTACATCCCAAACCTCAGCAGTTGGGGACAGGTCATCTTTGTCTACATGCAGCATATTATTAAAAGAAAAAAAATCAGCAATTGGCAATGCAAGCTGTTGGTGATTTACTATCATAGCTGTATAAGAGCATTAATAAAAGTTCTTAATAAATCTTTACTTTAAAGGTGCAGTCTCAGTTTTAAGTACTATGTCTCATTTCATACAGTTTTCCAAGGCACTGTATAATCAGTTACACATTTGAAAATTGTATGTTAATTTGTTACTAAGTAGCAAACAAATTAAGCTTCATAAGTGATTGTTTATGTTAGATACTTCAAAATACACAAAAATTCATTGGTGTTCAGAAATGATTACTGCATCTTTAGAAAGACAGTGTTAAGAAATTATTCAGCCAGTGTTGAATAAGCAAATAAAAGTATTCATGCTATATCACTCATGAAAATGCAAGCTGAGTAAGTCAGTGCCAGTTTATTCATGAAAACCACCATGCATCCTCTCGCACTCATTCTACATGCACAAGAAAGAAACCTTGGTCCTACATATAACCAGAGAAACAAGTCTATAAATACAGCTTTTTACACAAACATGAAAAGTAATTCACATAGGTAAGTTAACATCCCACTGCATTCCAGGAATTAAATTACAATTAGCAGAAATACAACATATCACAGTAGTTTCAGAAGACATGTCTTTTTCTGTTTGACAAATATTGCAGTTAATTATGCTCCAGGAAAAGTCAAGTCTCCACTTCTCTAAACTATCCATCTCAAATATTTCTGGAAACACAGAACTAGTAAAAGGATAAACTTGTTTCTTAGACAAGGTAAATTTAACGCTTGCAGAAGGACTTTTGCTAAAAGACAACTAGGCAGTTAAGCTTATGCTCACAAATTCTTTAGACTTAAAATAATAAAACTAAGTTCCTCAATTACCAACTTCCAATCATATCTACAATAGCAGTGTTTTCATAAAACAGCAATTTTTGAAGTTAAAACCATTGCAGTCATAAAAGTGCACAAGAGGAGCCATACACAGCAGAGATGAAGAAACATGCATTTAGGATGCAAACAAGTAGGAGTTATTCCAAGTACATGTTTCATGACAAAAAATGACAAAGAATGAGAAGATATCCTAGGATAATGATGCATCTGCTGAAAGACCATCATTCAAATAGGGCCGATCAATGACAAAGAGAAACAATCTTGATCAACGAGGTGGAATATAGAAACAGCAAGGCTGGCAAAGGCATAAAACGGGAAGCATAATGGTAAAGACCCCTGAGCTGTCCACAAAGAACTGTGGAGAGGGGAACGGAACAATAACATCCTACACCAAACTGCAGCTACAACTACCAAACTGCAAACAAAGACCTCAATCTTTATGATCACAGGGTCAAAACACTGACAGGGAAGAGTAGTGATTAGTCAGGAAACACAGGAAGCACAGAAAGGTAAGTCAGAGGATATGCCCAACCAAAAGAGGAAGTAAATTAGGAAAAACAGCAGGAAAAAAAAAAAAATCCCTAAAACCCAATGAAAGGAAATTCAGTTAAGAACAAATTAAAATTAAAAGAAAAAAAATATATCCAAAGCGCCATTAATAAAAGGAAGATAATCAGCTAGGTTGCAGCGTTGCAGAGAAGGATTCGGGAATTAAACTGAACCAGAAGCTGAACATATGTAACAGAAATCTAATGCTGTTGTAAAAAAACAAAAGCCACAACAAAACTGTCATTCAGGTATGTTTTAAAAGGTGTGGTGTCTTAAACCAGGAGTAGTCCACATAATTCAGTGATGGTGACGACAAAATTGAAGTAACATGGCCAGTCTGTGTTCTGCACTAGAAAATGTCTGTAGACTGCAACACAAACAGGGCATTTAGATATCAAGACAAAGAATTTGAAGGAACTGGGCTCATTCAGTCAACAGAAAACAGGAAAACGTAAGCCTGCAATCATAAATACTCAAAAACAATGCTACCAGCTGCTGAGATGTAGGTCATAAATAGAAAACTAGATAAAACACTAACTCTGATTAACCAGAGAGGCTGTGAAATGAATTTTAATGAAGATTTTTAGGAAAACCCAGCAGTGTTTCTCTCGGGTATGCCTAGATATACTTAGCTTAGAACAAAGCCATGTGTAACCAGAACACCTCCGTAATCCCCCCTTAGCAGTGAACTTCCTCAAATTGCCTGCAGTGTTTATAACCCACACTAAACTGACATCAGGAGAGCGCAGAGGATCCAGGATTTCTACTAGCCAATACCATTTAGTGGAGAAAGGATTTTTTTTTCTATTAAAGGTTTTTTAGTTTTTTCTTCTTAATTTATTTAAAGGATGACCCAAGAGACTCTGAATTCCAGTCACACTCTGCCACACAGAATTCTGGGCACAGTCAATCATTCTCTGACTCATGGTCCATCTGCAAACAGAACTTTTGTGTTTCATGGAGAGGAGAAATTCAGTGATGAACACATAGTTAGTCATTGAAATAATAAGCAGAATAAAAATACTACATAAGATGTAATATCTGTAAATATGTAATATTAGATATAAAAATATGTGTTTATTCCTGTTTGCTTAAGCAAACAGAAGTTCTGTATGCATCTTGTTCTTGATGATACTGTACCACCACAAGGCATTTATAAATTTTTAATCTAAAAATGTACATTCTTTTTTGAATGTGCTGCATACTTTATTTAACACTGTTTGAATTTGCTCATCTTTCACTATTTTGAAGATAAGCTGCTCCTAAGTAAAACATGTCGCGTGACAGGACACTTTAAATCACAATGTCTGAAAATAATTTAAGACTCAAAGTATATTAAATGAGGCACTTAGAAAAAAAGAATGTGTCCATAAAAAACAGTATTATAGGAAGGAAAAAAAGCAACCCAAGCTTCCACACTCAGTGGCTGGTTTACAGAAGTCTCCAATAGCAAAAATGTAACTATCAAATTTGTTGATGAAATACTTTAGCATATCTAAAGTTAGACCTGCAGATAATATCTTGACGATTAAGTATTGAAAGTAATAATAAAGCAAGACTAGGCAATAGGCTTAGAGCCTAAACATCAAAAGTTTGGTTTCCAGATACTAAATAAAAGCATTATAAAGAAATACACATGTAAACATTTTCATTTTTTCCAGAGAGCCTAAATCTTTGCAAGAGTAAGAAGTGATAGAAGGATGCCAATGACAGGAAAACTAAAACGGGAAGAAAAAAAAGCTGAGAAAATAGAACAGAGCAACTATTTACATTACAAAGATAAGAAAAATATGAATTATCACCGAAATACTAAAGTTGATGGTTGATGCAATTGTTTAGAAAGTAATGGCAAGTATTCATTTAAATTAAGTTCCCCATCAAAAACAAATAAATAAATGGATGGACCTGGAGATTTCAAGTAGTAACAGTTTCACAGAGTTCAAAATAATGTAACAAGCTAAAATAAATTGGTTTAGGCAATGTATTATTTTATTTTAGAAGCCATTTAAGTGGGACAATATTTGAAATGTTATTTTTCATAGGTAATAAAGAAGCATTGACTTTAAATATTTCAAATTTACACACTGATCTTTAAAAAAGTGACACTTAACCACAAGGCCTCAGATTGCATCCTTAAACATCCATTTAAGGAAAGAACAGCTGTACTAAAATTGGTGACACACTATAAAAAAGCATTGCTTCTACAGTTGGAAGTATGTCTTCTGACTCATTTAAATAGTAAGTTAGTACAAAATACACAATAAACTTACAGATATTGTTCTCATATGGCAAAACTCAGAACACATACTTTTAAAGATGAAAGTACATTTACATTTATTTCCTCCTCTCCACTTCCTTGCCTCAGACATGAGCATTTTGATAACAATGGAATTACTGTAGTTAAACCAGTTGTCACAAAAAAGCGGTCACAAGTGTGTACAAAATCCCAAAATGCTCTGCCTCACTTTTGCTATGGGTTCACTTAAACTGTAATGAAAGACATTCAAACTGTTCTCTAAAAAGCGTGGTGGGTAAATTTGATTCTTAAAATAGATTTTAAAATTTTATTGCATTTCAGTTTTAAGTTTGGGACAGCAACTGAACCACTCAAAAACAAACGTTTAAAAATTTAACTTGTAAAGTCAGCATTGCAAATAAGTCAGAATCCCCCCATTCTGGGAAACTACCCAAGAAGACAACCTGAGATATAACATACTGGATAGCAATCTTGGAAAGCAATGATTTGGAATTTCAACAGACAAGCTAGTTCAGTAAGTTTCAGCAGTCCACTGTGAAACAATGGATAAATCTTTGACTGCATGAATTATGGTATCAATAGTGCTAAGACTGATGCTAGAACCAGAACTTTCTGCATCACTATACATCTGAAGGGATGTTGCAAACAAAGTCAAAACCCTGGCTTCAGGGCCTATGAGACATCTTATACAGAGAGATTTGCCTGTTTGGCTAAATAAAAAGATGACCAAGGAACTAATCAAACAACATCGCCTTCAAAGGGGAGCAACACCAACCAGCTAAAAAGCTTCTGAAAATAAGATACGTATTACCAAAACTAAAGGTAACAGTTTGTCCAGCTTCATCTTTCAACTAAAAATAAGACTTGAGTTTTAAAAATAAAGGAAGGAATGCATTCTAATCCTTGCTACCTTCAAAATCAAGGCTGGATGATTTTCCTGGAAGATGTGTCTATATTTCGATTTCTGTAGATGTGTCTATTTTTTTTGCTCACTGAGGTGTTTATCCAAGTATGACAAATTAATTGTCTCGATGACATAAAATGGTGAAACAATATGATCAAGTGGCACTTTTTGGCCTTACAATGAAAGACTTACAATATGTAACCACAGAACTGCTTGTACCACAGTTCAGAAACTAAGATGGTCAATCTGACAATTCAAGGCAGATGTGAATTACTTAGTTCTTTATTCTTTTTCCTACCCAAATTCTCTCCCTCTTTCAATTTCTTCTTTTGAAACATGTAGGCTCCAGCTCTGACTTAGCATATTTTGTTTCACATCAAATTAGTAATCTACTTATTTTATTATCTACTCTAAAATTCAAATAAATAAATAAAAAGTAGGGCTGGTACAAAAGTGGTTTTTTTGATTCCACGAATGCAAGCCACATTAGCAATAACATCTAAAATTTCAGCCAGAAAAACTAAATATACTAATTGCCCATTTTTACAAGTACACCAAAGATATTCATTCAACTTGAGCACAAAAAGTTTAAAGCTAATCAGAAACAAACAGGAAAACAAACAAACAAAAATCTAGATTTGAAAGCAAATTTAATTCACGTATAAAAACATTCAGAATCCTAGTCTTTCTTATTAAAGAAAAAAATTCTCCTCTTTTAGTTTTGGAATGAAAACCAAACCAAATGTTAACTATAACTGTATGTGTGCCAACTACAACAGCACATCTATGAGAAAGTTCCAGCATCCAATACGCTATCATCTAAGCATCAGCATTTGATCATCACAATCATCCACACATCCACACCACCTTAGTAAGGTATTGCAACTCTTATGTACTATCACGAACAAGTATTCCGTTACTTCTAAATGTGTTTGTTAGCATCTTACCCCACTCTGTTCCATCTCCTGAACTTCGAGCTTCTCCAGCTCCCTCACCATCTTCAGCTGTCACTAAAAAATCAAATTCTTTCAAAGCTTCTTCAGTATCAGGGTCATCTGTAAGGTCAGCAGCTAAACCTTCATTACCAATCTGGAAGTAGATAAACATTTTTCTGCATTTGAATCACAAACAGTTTTCTACTCAAATATTTACGTTAGAATTGGTATAGATTACTCTCACTGAGTACTCGGTTGCAGGGGAAAACTTTTTTCAACATGAAATGCAGAAAAAGACACTAAGATACAGTCAGATATAGAGCTGCTTATAAAAAAAAAAGAGCACACAACACAGTCTAGTGATCATTATGAAATGAAAAGAATACTGACACTAGCTTTAGCAACAAAAACAATGCCATACATCCTAGTCTTCATTTTTTATTTAAAATATATCAATTGAAAAATCTTGTTGTTTTTCTTGCAACATCAACAGGTCTGCAGAGAAGCTTTACAAACAAACTGTGTTTTCCACTGGTCCAGAAGCCTTTCTTCCCTTTTGCCTTCCAGTTCTACTTCAGTGTTAAGCATAAGCTTGGAAAATATGTTTTCAGAAAAGTCTTGTTTTACTAGTTCTACCACACCTTCACCTTACACAAAACAAACAATCCCCCTACCAAAGCATCAGTGAAAATTTTCTTTCATTCGGCAGGTGAATAAAATTACCACACGGGCTTATGTTATGTTGCTATGATTTGCACAATATTCTTACACTTTTGCAGAAAGAGACAAATTTTACAGCAATAACTATAAATTATCCTTCTGCTTTCTATAAAAAACAAGCTTTGTCAAGAGTCAAAAAATGACACTACTATCTTCATATGTGCTTCTGATTTACTTATTAGATAATCTTTTTATCAGACTATCTACTGCCTTAGAACAAAAAAAGATTTAACCAATTGCTTGATTAATACATTTACCAGAAATACAAGTTAATACCCAAAGGTATGGTGGAAAACCCTTCCTGACAAGTCAAGTTGGGAGATTATGACTTGTGTCAAGCCAAGCTAATGCTGCTAGCTATTTAAGAAAATTCAGTGCAGCCAGAGGAGCCATGCTACAGAACACTCTGCTGAGCAAGAAGTAATAAAACTGTCAGTACAATGTTCATAGATCAACCTCTTTACATGAAGAAACCCCAGTGGCAGGGAGACTCTTCCAGTACAGAAGAGAAAGAACTAACAAGGAACAGGAATGTAGTCTATCCTATCTAGAAAGCTGCTCACAGAATGAAAAATTAAAGAGGAAAATAAAATAGAACAAAACTTAATTGAACCTTAAACAGAAGGTTACTGGAGACAAGTCTCTGCCAGGCTCTTAACATTTTTAGTAAAAAGCTGCATAAAAGGAAGAACTAAAAACATATTTGGCACGGAACTGATTTTTTTTCCCATTACTTAATTCAGTTTCTTCTAAGGAACTGTCCCTACCTTCTCCAAAATTCAGAAAGGATGCACATTGTATTGTGCTAAATTTGCCTCATAAGTCACTCAAAGTATGCAAAGAAGCTGAGATGGCCAAATCAGTCATCTCTTTCAGCAACTAATTCACTTTTGCAAACAGGTTGGTTGTTTGGGTTTAAGTTTTCAAGGTAATACATTACTAAACCACCAAATTTACCAATAATGCATCTCCTTACAATCCATTCAGATAATGAAGGTACAACAACAAACATTTTAACATGACACATTTATAATTAAAAAAAAAAATTAAAAAAAGTCTTTTACTTTGTGTTTCTTATTTATCCGGTGCTTTTCTTTTCCTTCTGCAATATCTTCTATCATGTCACTCTCCTCTTCTTCATCACTATCATCTGCATTTTCCAAGAAGTTAAATGTTTCAAGAACATCACCAGAATTCCTACATAAACACATTAACAGAGAATCCTTTTTACTTGCTGAAGAGATTTTAGAGAATTAATCAGATTAAATGCAATTGCCACCAAACAGCTTAAAAGCTTTAAAACTAGCAAAACAACAGAAATAGTTGTATGAAGAAGTTTCTACAGCTGCCCAATTCCTTATTATAAAAGCACCACTCAACAGAATCTTTCCTTAAAATAACAACTCCAAAGTGGTTATATGACATAAATTCACATTCAATACACTATATATTTTTCTGTATATAAGTGTAGTATACATATATGTATGTAATATAGATACATATGTTCCTACGTATAATCAATTTCAGTTAAGTTCATAATCATTCAGTCATCTACACTCACAGGTGTTCAGAGACTCTAGAATTGAAAGTTCAATGTGAACTGACCAGTACATATCAATGACTAAGCAAAACATACTTATACTTTATGCATTTCTTATCTCTTCACTTACCGTTTGATTTCCTGTCCCTTTTGTTTTGATGAAGGAGATTCACCCCCATTGAGGATTTGTTCCAAGTTCTTTGTCTCTACCGAACCGTTTGGTTCCGAATTGGAGAGCCCAAGCAAAGACCTTACCCGCTGGGAGCGTACATCCAATATTGTATCTGTATAACCTACTTCCTGAAGATACCTAGATGCATTAAGAGAAGAAAGGGGAAAGCATATTTGAGGGAAAAGGAAAGAAATTGGCATTGATTGTTAAAAAATAATGCCACTGTTACATCATTTATGGAAAATAAGCTTCATCGCTATCCATCTGATATAGAAAAAAACTTAATCTGTACTGCTTAAAGCTCAAGACTACCAAGTCCTGAAAAGTGAACCACTATTTGCACACCTCAATTACTCCATTTCATAAAGTAAACATATATACAGCTCCTCATACTTCAGGGAAAAGTTTGAATAGACCAATATTCAACAGTGTTACTTACTGTCTTAGTAACTGTCTGCCTTGCTTCCAGGTCAATTGGCTATTTTGAGGTACTGCGGGAACCTCCGTATCTTTGGTTTCTTCTGAAAGATATAGTGTCATAGTTGGGTGGGATTTTTGTTCTGGTTTGGGTTGGGGTTTTTTTGTTTGTTTTTTAGGAGATCAATTTACTTTTTACAAGACACCAATGAAACTAAAAGCAAATCTTAAAAAAAAAAGCTTTAAATTAGGTGCAGTCTTATGCAGTATTTTTTTGATTTAAAAATATTTTTTTCCTAATTCTTTGCTGAAGCATAAAACAAATAATTTAACAGAACAGAATCAGTTAAAAAATCCTGACCCCTTAAATGCAGAAAAGGAATTAGAAAAATATTTAACTTGTACACAAAAGAAAACTTTGCCCTTGTCAGCTTAAGTGTTACTGCTAAGAAAACAGGCTATATCTCTTTCACAAAGCAGAGGTGCTTAGAAAGCAACATGGAAAATATAGTTAAAATAAGAGAAGCAGTGACATATATCAGCATTTAGAGAAAGCAAACATTTCAAGTTTATCACATCAGTTTACTATCAACAATTAAAATCTAGACCCACTGCTCTTTTACTATGGCAAAGACTATAAAACATGGTACAAACTAATAGTTTAAGGATTTTAATATCTAACTTATACTGCTTTTAAACACATATGAAAAATCCCATCAAGCAAGAAATACGAATAATGAACTCTAGTTTCAACCAGGTATAAAGTACCCAAAATGTGGCACTTCTAAAGCAGAAAACAAACAAACCAACCCAAAGGGGGTGGATGGGGGAGGTGGGTGTGTGAATAACAATATGTAGGCCACAATTTTAAGGCACATCACACAAATACAGGCCAACAGTATGACTTCCCAAAGACCTGCATTTCCAGAGGAGCCGCGTGCAATTCTGCTTATTAAATAGTCCAATGGTGTCACGAAAGAATGCTTTCCTCTATCTGCGATATTGTGAAGAACAAAACTGTTATGATCAACTTTATATCTACATTACAAAATCAGATGAACTCCAGAGTACCTATAAGGATAGCCTAATTCTTCTCTTAGGAGTTTTTTCCTTGATTTAAGATAAAAACAGTCTCTCAACAAAACTTTTCCAGGCCAATGCAGTACAATTTTTTTTTTTCTTATTCTTTAAAAACTAGCATCCTGTAAAAGCACCGAAACCCAACAGTATGTCTTATGTTTACTCTGCACTTTGCTTTCCTTCTGGATGGATGGCACAATGGCAAAAAAAAATTAAATCCTTCAAGGAGGGGTATTATAAGCAATAATGAGAATCAGCAGCTAAATAAGGAATTGTGTAACTTTAAATAAAGCTTTCTTTGACATTCAGAGCTCTTTCAAAAAAAGTCAACTAATTTTGATTTTCAGATTAAAAAATGTTTACCCAATACCAAGCCTTTTGCTAGACATCTTCTCTATAACACACCAAGGGGGGGGAATGAAAGCTGCAATAAATTGACCAGAGCAAATCTAGAACAGTGTATAAACAAATTATACTAAAACAGGCTATTGTAAAAAAGTTACCTGATTCAAAAGTTGGCATTTTCAAGTCACCTTGGTTCAATTCTGTGCCATATTTTAATTTATGATATTTTGCCCTGAAAAAGTATGCAAATGTTTAACAAAGCAGCATACAATACTTTTATCAACTCAAAACATTCTACCATTCCCATTTAAAACAACCATACTAACACAATACAATTTATCCAAATAAGACTGTTGTGATAATTATTGCATCACACAATTATTTCTAGTCTTAAGAACACACTTTTAAGATAACCTTCTTACAATTATTCACAATTGTCAAATAGCTTATAGATGAGAGTTTAGTATGTTCTCCAAGAACGTGGGCTTTTTTCATGTGTGTCAGCTACTAAAGAAAACCTTTAAAAAAATCAGTAGATTCAACTATTTAGCAGAGATTATTTTTTAATTGTAGCACTGTCGTAGCTAGCCAACTGCACAATGATGAATGAACCTCACATTTAGGATCACTGCCTATTTGCCACCTTCAATCTCCACTTCAATTTCTCTCCTGCTCTGTCTTTGCTTTGAGATCTTTCCCTCTGAAGGACCAATGTTAGAGTGCTACATTCCCTCATCACATACATTCTCTTACTGATCTTCTCTTCCTTATTGGCTGGAGGCTTAACTTTCAATTCCTGCTCAGTCCACCTATGCAAACATGCCTCACTCCTTCCCACCTCCTGATCTCTGATCCCCTAACTTCTTCTCCACCGCTTTTTAAAAAAATCACTCTTGATGATACTATTTCCATGCAGGTATGCATGAGCCTTCCAAATCTTATTCTCTACCCAAGCTGCCCAACAAAATGACTTCAGCTCCCTTTACCTGTAGGAGTATCACATGAACTACTACCTACACCTATATCTTGGAATTCTCTAACTTTATCCTAGACATTTCACAATTTGACTTTTGTCTCATAGATCTCTGCAAAAATACTCAAAATCTAAGGGGAAAAGAGCTCTAGATGTTCTGCAGTATAGCCAAGGTGAAAGATCTCTGTAAAAAAGTTAGCAGCCACCTTTTAAAGAAGTCTCTATAAAATACAGCTGTCTTCGTAATTCTAAATTAAACATTTGACCGAAGTTTTCAGAGTAACTAAACTACATCTAGTCCCACCAATTTTAAAGACTACTCTCAAATATGAAACTTCTCCAGAAAAGATACATAATGGAATCTGTGCTAGACAAAACCAAGGTTTTCCAACAAATCTTCTCAAATGGCTGAGCCACTGGTGCAAGTTTTTCCAAATTGAAGGTAAAAGTTCATCTCAAATGCTGCCTGATCTATTTGATGGCATAGAAGATTTTCTTCTGAAGTATGGAAGTTTCTGCTAAAATTGTAATTAGGAACAGTCTCACTAACAAACTGTCAGTAGATGGCACTATTGACCCTTTATGTAAGATAAAGTCCCGCTTTTCGTAGCAACTACATTGTAACTAAAAAACTGTAAGGCTCCTGAAGGCTAGGTATTTGTGTGACCTGAATCTGACTGACTGCCAATTAAGCAGAATCATAATTTTTTAAATTATTTGTGAATATGTTCGTATTTCATCCATGCACTAGTAAGACTCTCTACCCTAGGTGCTCTCTTTAAGCCGAGAGACAAAGCTTTGTTCCCCGTTGTAATAGGGCAGTGTTCCACCAAGCCTTCCAGATGAAGTGTACATACTAAGATTTATGTGCCCTATAAAGTACTGTACATTTGGGGGTAAAAAAAAAAACCAAACAAACCAACAATCAAAATTAAAATAATTACAAAATTGTGAAGTTAAATAAAGCTGATAAAATGTTCTTGCTCAATTCATAATTGAAGCCAATAAAGCACTGTAATTGAAAAGGCAACCTAAATTTCTTCAATTTAGAGCTGTGGCAAATACTATTTAGGAGCAGTTTTTCCATTTTGGAGCTACAGTTTCAAAACATTAATTAAAATTCTGCTTTAATTGTTCATTAGAGAAGATAATGATGTATCTGATCTAAAATCATACCAATACTAGCCACTACAAATAAGCCAAAATACTGCTGTATGTAATGAGATCAGTTATGTCTTTCACATCACATCTGATGCTCAACTTCTATTTTACAGTAAGAAATGAATCTTATTAAATTCCAATAAACTATGTATTTGCACATGTATTCCTCTCCATGTTGTGACACAAACAAGGGTAATTATTACATATCTTGAAAATCAGTAACAAGCTATAGTGTTGTTGATGTGTCAGTGACATTACTCCCACACACAACACAGTTAATGAATTCTACAACAGGCATCTTTTGAATCCTTTGAGTACTGACTTGCTATTCTTCTAAGGCCAGGTTTCCATGAGTGAAAAAGTGAGAGGAGGAGAAACAATGCCCTAAGTTGATTTAACTGTTTGCTGCTATTTAACTGTTAAACCCTACCACTCAGTTGCAAGGATGTAAGCCAGCTCCAGTCCAAACCCCCATGAGGTCAACATATAGCCACGGTTTTACGATCTCAGCAAGTCTTATTAATTTAAGCAAAGCACTATGCTAATGAAGCTTGGAGTAGAGTGGCTCAGAGTACACAAGAGAAGAAGTCTGGCTGGGTCTGCAAATCACCATAAAGGAATATCCACTACCTACAAACAAAAAGTCCCATACATATAACTACTTAAGGCCTAATTTTATTACAGAAATTCATACAGAACTACCAAAATATTTAAGGACATTAAAATAATAAACAACATTTTACTTCTCTAAAACATTATCACACCTGTTGCACACATACTTAGAGATAAATACTAGAAATATCCAACTATTTTGTAACTACTACTGAATTTTATTTAATCTTACACACTGATGTCCTGTTTCACACTCTTTTTCTGAGAAATCGCAACAGTCATCATTGTCTGAATGAGTTTGTTTCTGACTCCCTATAATGTGGTATTTCACTACATGAAACTTTTTGACAGCATCAGGGAGTGAGCAACAACAGCAGGAGAAGCGGGGGCGGGGGGGGGGGGGGGGGGGGGGGGGAGGCAATCGGGTGCAACACTGAAAATTGCTGTCAAAAGTTTTCAGATCTGAAAATCTCAGAATTTATTTTGCTTTGGGGCTGGTTTCTTTTCATTAGTTGTTATTCTTCACTCACAGGAACAATGGCAAAAAATAATGTTTATTACCCTGAACTCTTCATTCAGTGCAACAACCAAGAAACTAACATACTATCATTCTTGGATGATTTACTGACAAGTCAGTACCTGCCTGCTTTCCTTACTCAATCCGTCATTCTTTTGCAATGAGAGCCCCTCAAACTACTGGGCATTCGCAGCAAAAAATAACAGATAGCTTCCTCGTTGCCTCCCACATATTCACCAATCAACCCCAGAGTTTCAGTTCCTGTTTTTAGCAATCTTCATGACAATTCTGGCTGGGACTTCAGCAAGGATTTTCCTCTTGAAAAGTATGCAATGTTGGCTTGTACCCACTAGCCGCAAGAACTAAATA